GTCAAGGTTCGTGTTTCGGAGTTATAGAGTTGAGAGAGGGTTATAACCACAAATAAGTAGCCTCCTCGTCTGTAGTGGCCTTCTCAGCCTTGAGGAGGTGAATTAAAATTAAAAAAAAAAAAAAATTCGCTCAATTTATGCTAAAATAACGACATATTTTGTCAGCGTACGTATTTTTTTCATGTCAGCGTATTTTTCATGTCAGCGTATTTTTTTTGCAGTCAATTATATGCATCATTAGATCAATTGTGTAAAAATCAATAGGTATGAAAAGCAATTAACTCGCCAATACACAAATAAATTCTTAAAACAAAACTTGGTAAGATATCTAAAAAAAATTTTCAAATATTTTAACAAAAAACTAATTTTTTTGATGCAATCTTTAAAATTACAATTTTTTTTTAAGTGTACGATTATTTTTTTTGCATACTGTATATATAACTATATGTATTTATATATATATATATATATATATATATATATATATATATATATATATATATATATATATATATATATATATATATATATATATATATATATATATATATATATATATATATATATATATATATGAATATATATATATATATATATATATATATATATATATATATATATATACATATATATATATATATATATATATATATATATATATATATATATATATATATACATATATATATATATATATATATATATATATACATATATATATATATATATATATATATATATATATATATATATATATATATATATATATATATATTTATATATACTACAATCTTCACTTTTAATTTAGTTTATTGCAGATGTTAAAATTAAACAAACTATCAAGAGAATGTTATGAAAAAATTGAAGACAAAGAAAACACAATTTTCATGACTGCTGATTCAGTTCATAGTAAAGTTCCTTTAAGGACTTACACAGACAAAGTTTTGCAATCAAACATTATTAAACTTTTAAGGTTATATATATATATATATATATATATATATATATATATATATATATATATATATATATATATATATATATATATATATATATATATATATATATATATGTTAAAATTAAACTTGTTTTTATGGATTAATTTCTATTTGTTAAAAATATATTTATTTTTATGATATTTAGAGGGAGTATTGATACCCTCGTTATCAATTATATTAAAAACTGTTATAAAAAATAAAACTACTATATCATAAGTAACCGTTTAAATTTCTGAAATAATGTTCTTTGTAAAAGTTTCTTTTTAAGAGTTTTTTAAGAGAGTTTTTTGTAATTTAAGAATTTGAACATGGGTTTCCAAAATGACATCGTCACGTTATCGCCATCATCCTGGTTAAGACCATTGTCGCGAAATGTGCTTTTGTTGTGTTGTATTTCCAACGCTTCCCTAACTTCCCTTTTAAAACTATTTATTTCTATTTTTAAGGTATTGCGATCTTTCTAGTGAAAATTTCCTTTGGAATGTTCAGCTACAGCTGATTTTTTCCCTTCATCCTGTTGTGCAATTGTTTGACGCTGGCATATCCGAGAGGATATCTTCAGTTCAATTTCACCAACATAACATTTGCCACAAGAGCACTCTAATTTGTAAACACCGGGATAGAAATTAACTGGTAGTGCAGGTTTATTTTTGGAACTAAGTAAACTTTTGGATATTTTTTGCAGAATTAAACACTGGTGCGTATCCTGCTTTTTTAAAAATTCTTCGTAACTTAGGACTGGTTCCAGGGATCCAGAGTAAAGACACAAATCTTTTTGGAGACATTAGGGTATGTTGATTTTTCATGAAATCTTTTTTGTTGTTAACACTTTCTTTTGTAGACAACTACTTTTCAAGACTTTTCCTTTCATACCTACAAATAAACTTTACCTCTTTTTCTACAAATAAATCGATAAGAAACGACAACATCATCATCAATGTTACTTATTGTGCATAAATAAAGTGCTCTATGAACAAAACCAATAAAGACACCATTGATAATTTTAGGGTCATGAGTTCGGTTTAATTTGAACGTTTGTGATGTACTTTAAAACTATATTTACCAGTTTTATTGTTGGTAACTGAAACATCAAGAAAGTTTAATGCATTGGTTAAGTTGGCAGGTTTCATTGTGTATTAAATACTTTTGTGTTGTTAATTAAGTAGGTCTAAAAACTTTTGCGCTTCTTCTTTGGCATCATCGACATATCTTTTTACAATGATTTCACATGGATGGTATTGTTAAGCTCCAATGAAAGTGCGTTACTTTAATGATATTGTAAAAAACACTCAGCAACTACCACCATAATAGCTAACCCAATCTAGAGTTTTTTTTTCCAGACTTTTCGAGCTCATGGATATCATTTTCATATTAAAAAATAGCAATGAGAAAGACAAAGTTCTAATAATAACCTGATCTCTTCAAAAGTTAATTTAGTCAAGTTTTTCCGGACCGAAGGGTACAAATTAACAACATCAAAGGAGACCTAAACATCGTTCTTATTAATTTGCCACAATCTTGCTGTACACAAATTGTTGAGAATTTTTCAAGCGCATCTCATTTAAGTTTAGAGTGGGTTGCACCATAATGACTAAATATTCAGAGATGCTCTATATAGGTGTACCAATGGTGCTTACAATTAAACTCGTTGGGTAACCTTTTTTTCAGGCTAATGGGCTTTAATTACTCCAGATGAACTTGATGGTATGGCGTCACTCGGGTAGATATTTTTATATTCTTTTTTGGTAAAATTTCCTAGTTTATTTAACTTTCTGAGAGTTATTTGAACTTTGCGAAGAATTTGAATAGTTGGGTTGTATTTTAACTTTTTTGTATCTCCTAAGAGTTCTTTAATTTTTTCTAGAGCACTATTTAAATCGGTTCAAACTAATCCAGATCCTTTGTCAAAGGAATATCTGAATATTCATATCTTTCCTAATTTCATAAAGTGCTTTTTCTTGCTCATTCTTAAGGGTACTTTTAACTAGTTTGGCATTTTTAAAATTAATAAAACTTCTTTTCTTAATTTAACTTCCTTAGTTGGTTTCTTACTATATTGCAATTTTAAGGCACATGATTCATAACTGAAATGATATCTAAATATGGTATTGATTTTGGTGTTGGAACAACTTAGGTCCAAGATCAAGTAATTTTTTGTGATGCATAAAGTAGAATTTTGTGATTAAGTGTTACCTCTAACTTTCTTCTTTTTGTTGTTGTTGTTGTTTTTGTTGTTGATAGTGCTGTTATTATTTAATCTCTCAAATTACTCCTTTAGTTTTTCTCTAGATTTTATGAACATATTTTCATAGGATTTATCAGTGATAGATATTATTGCTTTATAATTATCAGAGTTGTCAACAATTGCTCGTATTTGTTACTCGCAAAACTTTACTTTGTATGTATTTTGAAAAATATGTTTTTAAGCATTCTTTATATGGTATAATAGGTTGTGTTTATACTTTACGTTAGTTCAATAGACATCTTAGTCGTAATGATTCGGGAAGTATATGATGTTTTATACATCATTGTAAAATTACCCACTGATTTTTTGATTTTGCAATTGTTTTCTTAAGGTTTTTCAACATGTTGCTTTCTTTGTAAAGGCCATTACCATATTTGGCTTCAATATAAATTTTAAATGTTGACATCTTCAATAGATTTTATTTGTATAAATATTTAAAAATAAAACTTCTTTTTATGGATTAATTGCTATTTGTTAAAAATATATTTATTTTTACAATATTTTGAGGGAATATTACTACCCTCGTTATCAAGTATATTAAAAACCTTTATAAAAATATATACACGTGTGTATGTATATTTTAAGAATTTACCTTGTGCTTAAGTGTCAAAATACCCTAAAAGATACCTTAAATATTACCCAAGTAATGAGGCTTTAAGCGCAAGATTATTCTCAATTTTTTTAAAGAATTTATAAAATTACTTAGATTAAAAATGTGCGAAATTTTATACAGAAAATATTCTTTTAAATGTGCTTATAATGGTCCTTATCTTTTTCAGATTGCTGTGTATGATTTATATAACTATTGTTTAACATGTTCGCTGCCGAGCTATTTTTAACTATGCTTTAATACTTTGCCGAGCCATGTCTGCATTGATTAAATTTTCCTGAGGCTATTTTGTGCGGTTTTATTCTCATTGCCAAGGTGAGATGTCAACATTTCAATATATAAAATTTTTTTAATCTAAAATAATTCTATAGTTTTTTTTATTCTGAATATAACTGACAAAATAAGCACTACGAGTATACTCGTACTTTGGCAATGGAGAAGAAATTTTTTTCTTCAGCGCCGAAGTAAGAGTTTACTCGTAACACTGTAATGAGTATAACTCATTGCGATGACTAGTAATGCAGCTTATTTGATGCATTAAGCATCTGAATTTTATTGTATACTTCAAATTTTATTGTGTACTTCAAATTAGTCACTGTAATGAGTTATACTCATTGTGGTGACATTACTATTCACCACATCAAATAATATTTGATGCATTATTATTATAAATAGTGTTTCAATTTTTTTGCACATGCACATGTACATTGGCAGTTATTATGAGTAAAAAAGCTAACTTATATATATTTTTTTTCATTCTAAATTGTTGTGTTTTTTAGACTAGAAGATAAACATATTTTATAACTACATTTTACTGCATGTTATTAATAGTGTGCAAAAAAACTTGAAGACGCAATAAATTGTTTTTTAATTTATTAAAAAACATTTTAGTGTGCACTTCGAATTTTTTACACAGTATATTAATTAACGTGTTTATAGATAAGTAATTTCTTTTTTAGCTCAACACAGATATTCCACAATTGAATCAGCTCATATGATTATGGAAGATCGTGAGGATAGTAAAGATGATGATATTGAAGATTCGGATTCATTTTTTGCTTATACTACTACATCTTCAAGCTTGAATGAATCAGCATCAGGTTCTGAAGATAATAACACTGAAGAAAGTAATGGCGATCAGCTAACAGACGTTCATCTAGCAGCCACTGCAGAAGATTTTTTAATGCCGCCAAAAAGAGCGAGAACAATGGGTGGTCTTGCTTATAGACGAAATCAAAACAAAGCTCAACAAGTAGATCTTATAAGAAATATTTTGCCTGACAAAACAACTTCTGAAACAAATCCATCTAGAAATTCAAACCAGTGGAAAGATGAGCCAAATATTATAACCAATCCTGTTTTGAAGATAAACATGGAGAGCAAGAAACCAATAGATTTTTTAAAACTTTTTGTTACATAAGAGCTTATTAATGCTATGATAGTTGAAACTAATTGCTACACAATGCAAGAAATAAATAAGCAGCGTCCGCTCAAAGATTTGAAACCAATAAGTTTAGAAGATACGCAGCAGTTCCTTGGAGTTCTTCATATAGGGTGTGTCAAAATGCCATCTTTAGAACACTACTGGTCAAAGAACAGTCTCTATAGATTTCCCTTATTTTCTAGAATAATGCCACAAAATAAATGCCAACTAATGTTACGATTTTGTCATTTTATTAACAATGAAGATTTGGGTAGCTGACGCTTGTGTAAAATTATTGGACTTCTTGATCATTTAAATAATACAATGGATAATATCTACTGTCCTAATAAAAATATATCAATTGATGAATCAATGTTGCTTTGGAAGGGATTCAGGCAGTATGTAAAAAAACAAAAGACATAAGTATGGTATCAAATTCTATGAGCTTTGCGAATTAGATGGTATTGTATTAAAAGTAAAAAATCTACTCTGGCGAGGCAACTTTCTATAAACATTTTTTTAGCTATTGTTTTAGATTTAGTGGAAAAATTTCTGGGAAAAGGTTATCACCTGTACACTGATAACTTTTACAATTCCTTTGAACTAACAAATCAAAAAACATACATTTGCGGTACTTTAAGAACTGACCGAAAGTCAAATCCAAAAGAATGTTGAAAAGCAAAACTGAAACAGAGTGACCTTATAAGCGAGAGGGTGTAGTGGTTGCTAAATAAAAAGACAAAAGAGACTTGCTAAGAATTAGCAACTTGCATTTGTTGCAAATGATTGAAGTGACCAACAGGAGAGGATCTTCAATACCACCGAATAAAAAGAAAAATTCCCAACAAAACCATGTTGAATCTGCTCTAAAATAAAATGTTAGAAACATGATACGAATGTGCTGTTTGTGAAAACAAACCTCTATTATGTATTGGCAAATGTTTTGGAATGTATCATACAAAAGAATAGGTTTACACTTTAATTTTCATGAGATGAAATTAAAACAATATTAATATTTTACTTTTATCTGTTTTTAGCTATTTCTGTCTTTATCCCCATTTAAATTTGGTTCCTGGGATTTTAAAAATAAAAACTTAAAAGTAATCTTTTCTGAAATCAAATGTGAAGCTAAGAAAAAAGTATTTATAAAAACAGACAAAGCCAGTCATGTACAAATATTATTTGAAATAAGTTAGTATAACTACGAGTTTACTCATAGTTGGCAAACTCATGACGCCGGCTTACTACGAGTATTCTCGTAGTTGGCAAATATCAAAATCCCGCTAACTACAAGTATGCTCGTAGTTGGCAAGTAAATGGCGCCAACATACTACGAGTATACTCATAGTTAGCAGCGAACAGGTTAAATTGAAAAGATTATCCAAAGAATGCGAAAAATGTGCGTTAAAAAAAAATTGCAAAATAATTTTATATCCGCACTTATATGACTAATTTATAATTACATTGTTCGATTTCTCAAAAAGAAAGATTTTATTTTATTTTAATTTATCTTTTTAGAAAACATTTTTTTTGAGTTAAATTTTTAATTATTTGCAAGCCTTCCTGATTAGAGCGTTCAATCGCGTGCCTTGTTTTTTCCCACGTTTAAAGTAATTTTTATAGACAACTTGACCAGGTTTTTATGTAGGAAGCATTTTAAGAATTAGTGGCAAAAGCTATTAGAAACTACATAGAAACATTTTAAATGCATTTTTTCAAACAGAACAGCTGCTATGTTCATTATCTCTAGTGTTTTGTATTAATGTTGGAAAGTGGGCTATATAATGAAAACAATTTCAGACAGGTATCAAATATGGTAAATACATTTATAAAAGAAACCATGCAGTTCTTTTATTTAATTTTTTCCATTATTACATAACTTATTATTCAAATAATATTTTTTACAAATAAAAAACAAACAAATAAATTTATTTTTTTATTTTCCTTTTATATAAGTAATAAGAAAACATTTTTAATAGCAAAAAAAAAATTAAAAAAACTTTTTCTAGTTTATTTAAATAAAATTTGATATTTTGTTACAATTTTGTTTCCTTTTTTAAATTTTTTTTTTTTTCAGTAGATAAGTTTAGCTTTTTGCCACGAATAATTGAAACGGTTAAAAAGTTAAAAAATGTGAACTGCTGTAATCATTGTTTCTAAAAAAATTAATTTAGGCGTGGACAAACAAAGCATGTGACTACACGCGATACCTGAGTAGGCTCTCTCTCTGCTAGCTCTTTTCTATTTTCCCTGAACTTATTATTTCTCGATTGGAAGTATCTACGATATTAAAGAAGTTTTGTTGCAGCTTTTTTAACAACAGTTCTGTTAACCTTCTCATAAGTAAATTTAACTAACATAAATGGATTGTACTCAAATTTAGGCTGCTCAAACAAGTTTTTCAAATATTAAAACAAAGGATTATCAGGGGCCGTAGTTTCTTGATTTTTTATAGCTTCAGAAGTGTTTCATTCTCCACTCATAAAGACTGTAGCTTCAAGCTAAGATCTAAGATATTGTTATTAAAAATCAATTATGTATACTCATATTGTTTGATGTTGCATTAAAACAAAGTAATCCAATCTTTTATTCAAGACTGTACTCTTTTAATAGTTTCATTACAGAGTGTGCTGATATCAAGTGATGATATTCTTCAGATAAAGAGGTCAATTATGTAACACTAAGACCTCCTTATCAATTGTTGCCAGAACAGCTAGTCTGTCATGCTTTGATTTTTTTCTATTATTGGTTTCAAAAAGTATTATTTAGTATAATACATGGAAAAATCCATAGGAAAAAGCTTGGCTACTAAGTTTGACATCTTTTTTAGCAATAACTGCCATTATCTGAACTGTTTGTTTGATCTTTCTAGATGCTGTTGATGCTGATGTTGAATGATGATGCTGAAAATTGATTACTGAAAGTGGATGCTAAAAAATTGCATTTGTTTGATCACACCCAGAACTAGCAAGAATTGCAGCACTAATATCGAGAGAATTAATAGTTATGCCACCCTAACTGTGGCAGTTAGGGTGGCATAACTAGAAATATATCTAGGGATCTCAGCTTTTATTATACTATTAGACTTTAATATTTTAGAATGCCAATATCCTGGGTAAAAATCTATATCAAAAGATGAATCTTCTGTGATATCTGCACTAAATTCCGACTCTGAATTTATTTCTGCTGAATTTGCAGCATCTTTTCTAGATCATTTTCTCTTTCTTTTATTCTCTTGTTTTCTCAAAAAACTAAGCAACATGCTTCATACTGAATTCTATCAATGTTTTTTGTTATTTATTAATAATAAAATTTTTAAATTTCTTTGTTAAAAGTTTGTAGTAAAAAAGTTAAAGAACAAAATAATAAAATAAAATAAAATTTCAATAAACCAAAAATAAAATCTAATGATAAACTAAAGAAAGATGATAAAATTTATAGAAGAAAATTTTTTTTAGTAAGAAAAAAAAAAAGGGTTATAAAATAGCTTATCTTCTCACTATGTTTGTTGTCTTCTAGTCATAAAAATAATCTGTTTGGTTCTGGATTGTATAAAAGTTTTGTGATTGTTCTTGAAAGTTCGAGCTCATTTTTTTAATCAAAGTTTATTTGTTCTTTGTTATCCAGTACTGTAAGTCTGCTATTACTGCCTAAAAAATTTTTCACAGTTCCTTTGAAATTCTTGTTGTTTTTTTAACTCTAGAGACATACTATCTCTCTTTTTAAGTTCAAATATTTATTGCTCAACCTGTTCTGCCTGTGTATTAAGTAATTATCAGATTGAGAAACATGGCTAAAAATAGGAACCATTTATTTTGTTTAGAATACACTTACAAATCTTTTTAACACACCATTTGTATTTCCTTTCTATTTTTTACTGAGCAATCAAGTATTATTAGCTAAGCAAGCAAGTATTAATAGCTGAGCTAGCAAGTATTAATAGCTGAGCAAGTAAGTATTAATATTTTAATGTTTTCGACTCTTCTTTGTCTTCTATTAAACTTTTCATTATAACTTTAACATAACATGACAATTTTTTCTTCTAAGGAATTTTTAACAGGTTTAAACGTTGTTTATTAAGGAAGAAAAATTGAAACAATAGAAAAAAAAGAACTAAGCAAATAAAGCAAAAAGTAACACTTTAATGTTTAATGTTGTGTGAAAAATAAATATTTTAATGTTTAACCTTATATTTCTTGTTAAATGTTTGTTAAATTTATTTGTTTTTGTATTTTTTTTTTTGTAACTTTTTTTTCAGTTTAACCAACAATTATTAAAAATCCAGGTTACTCAATAATTTAAACAAAAAGGACCATAATGAGCACATTAAACAAAATTTAATATTAAGATTTACCTTGTGCTAAAAACCTAGGGTTCTATTTGGGGCATTTTTGGCAGTATTTTTACACTTGAGCACAGGGTGTATCAAAAGGTTTAGAAATAATTTTGTCATTGTGTTTGTCCCAAATTTAGCTTCTTGTTTGTTTGTCTTTTGAAAATTTTATTTTTTTCAACATCCCTTTTATACTTTTTTTATTGAATAAAAATGAAATTACATTATACTGCTTGTAAAACATTTTTATTTAAAATTTGAATTTAATATTAAATTTTTTTTAGCAATCCAGATTTTCTTTTATCTAACTTATTATGTGTTGTTCATGCAATGTTTTCAGTTGGTTTTGAAGACTTGGTCCCAATCTTTTTAGCAACCTCAAAAAAATACAGTAATTAGAGTATTTTTTAAAAGTAGTTTTTAACAGTAATTAATATTCAATTTTTTGCAGTAATTAAATCCGACTAAAACTATAACATGTTATATATATATATATATATATATATATATATATATATATATATATATATATATATATGTATATATGTATGTTATATATATGTATATATATATATGTAAATATATATATATTTATATAATTTTTAAGTGACTTTTTTAATAGTTATCATCAGTATCATACTATTTATTACTATTAAAAATGAATCACTTTTAATAATGGCTGTTGAAGCTATATTGCAATATTACATAGTGCCCCATTTATCATGGTGCCCCACTCTCCCCTATATATATTAGGGGTCTTTGGATACTTTTCAACTTTGAATAATAAAGGGAAAATGTTGTTTGTTTTTCAAGTAAAGAATAGAATAAATCTAAACAACCTGATGTTTTCTCTGGTAGAGTACAATTTTTAAAAACATTTTTCAAACATTTTATTTAAAATTTCATTTTTTTTAGATATTTTTTTCTTTTGAATTGTTTTTCACCAGGAATCATAAAATCATGCTTTTAGATATCATTAAATAAGATTTCACAATTTACAGCTTTGCTTAAGTTATCATTGTTGATTTAAATAAAGGGTCTAAAAAGCTTAAGATAAGAAAAATGTCTTTACTTAATTCAAACTTAATTTTTAACTGCATAATAATTCATAAACAACTTTACTTATCCCTTGTTTTTTCCATTGTGCAAAGACAATTTTTAGAAGTTGTAAATAAACTAAATAAATGTCTACGCTTTTTTCCTGCATGATTCTAAAAAGAAACAAGAAAGTTATTGCTATTGTTAGAACTAAAGTGATCAATAGTGATGCTAAGTTTCGAGATAAACTGCCTTTGTATATATATTTGTACTGCCATTTTATTGAAAGCAATTTTATAAATATTCACCCAAATTTTGAGATAAAGTGGTCAGGTGTGGTGTGGTCAGGTGTGGTGATATTGCTCTTGAGTTAATACCAAGCACAAATTGATGACCAGATCCAGAAGCTTTCTTAATTAATCCCATCTTCAATTATAAATCTAAGCACTGCAAGATCATTTTTTTTAAATTGCTACACCTGTTCAGAATAGAATAAAATATTAGTTAAACAAAGAAAGAACAAATTAATTTTTTATTATTTCATTTATTCAAAACTACTTTTTTGTTTTTTGTAGCAGATGCATGCTTGATAGATGCATTATTTTTTTTTACATATTTTTACATAGTTTTTTATAGTCATGTTTTAAATGGTTTTATAGATTTTTCCATTTTTCATTGGTTTTATAGAAATTTCTATTTTTCAGAACAGAATGGTTTTTGTTGCAATTTTTCCTGTTTGCAATACCAATTTTTTGAAAGTCATTTTTTAGCTTGAAATAAATTAATGTTAAGTTTTTTTTTAAAGTTTTGAGCACTCAAAAAGTTTAAAATCTACTTTAGTGAAAGCAAAATCAAAAATTACCGATAAAAATATTATAGATGTTTAACTATACAGTTCATGCGTTACTAATTTGTGCTCAGCTCTGTTTATATCCTTAATTGGTAATTTATTTTATTAAAAATCATCTTTAAGTTAAAAAAGTTTTTTACCCCTAAATTTTCTAATATACACTACACCAAAATAAATTTAATATTTTCTATAACAGGTTGTCCATCTCAATCATAAACTAACGGGTTGTCCATAAATTACACACAAGCAGATGTAGGAGATCTAAAACTCTTCTATGTGGCAATTTTTATTCAACTTAATATTTCAATATTTTATTCATATACTTTAATTTAAGCTCTGTTAAGGAAAACTTTTAAACTTTGTTGTTTTGTTTATTAGTAAAATTTAGCGTTGCTTAAATTATGATCCCTAAATGAAACATAGTGTTAGTATTGAGCACAACTACTAATAAAGTAAATAATCAGTAGTACATAATACTTTTAACATCAATATTTCTAAAACATATGAATAAGCTTAAATGTCAAGTAATAAGAAAAAGTTAAAAAACCAAAATGTTTAAAAAATAACTCACAATACTTTATTAATAGAAAAGTTGTTATCAAAGTTTCATTTATAAAGTTGTTATAGTTTTGAGAGACAATGTTAATGCAATATTGTCATTTTAAAAAATATAAATTTTCTTTCTCAAAAAATGTTTATACCTACAAATTTAATGATTATTTCCACAGTATGTAACAGTGCTAATCAAACTAGGTAGGTAGGTAAGTAGGTATGTAGGTAGGTAGGTAGGTATGTATGTATGTATGTATAGAACTATAATTTCACCTAATCTAAAAAATACATTTTACACTGAAACAACTGGAAAACTAATTTTGAACACTACTTAGGTGTTGTCAGTGTTTCAAGTAACCGTGTGTAATTGATAATTTCTTTTTTTTTTTTGTTTTTAAAAATTCTTTACTTGCAATAATTACTATTTTAATATCAAATTTCAATAACAAATAGTTTAATTTTCATATAATCTGAGCAGAATTTTAATTTTGGTTTTTCATGACTGAGGAAAAGTAAACAAACTTTTTAACAACACTAATACTTATTTATTACTAATACTTATTTATTACTAATACTTATTTATTACTAATACTTATTTATTACTAATACTTATTTATTACTAAGTCCACCAATCATGTTTAACAAAAAAAGAGAACAGGAAAAAAAAATTAGTTTATTCAGAAAAATTATAAAAAATATTATCAGCTATCCCAGCATCACCTTGCTCAAAACACTTTTTAATATAAAGGTAAACCCCAACCTCAGTCAATCACTATATTGTGCAGATTTTTTGCACTTTTGATGGAACTGCCATGATGCAGACCTAAAAAAATGAAAAAGCTTTTCCCTTTTTCAAACTAACCTAATTAATAGAAAAAAGAAATAATAAATAATAATAACATCTAGGTAGCATCTGTAAATAGAAAATAAGGTTAGATACATTTCTATTTAACAGGATTTTTTTTTTTTTTTTTTTTTTTTTTTTTCAAGGAGTTATCAATGTTTTGGTTTTTCATTTTTTCTTTAAATTTCTTTAGAAAAAGTGAAAAATAAAGTTGTATTTAATTCAATATTAAAATTTGACAAATGCATTTTGGTAACTAAATATAATTATATTTGTTTGTAAATTAGACTCAGATTTGACTAAAAAATCAGTATGTTATATTCAATTGACTAAAAAATCAGTATGTAGGTAATTTTTTAATTTAATTCTATTTTGTATGTATTTTTAAATTAATTGTAGTTTAAATTGTGTGTTTTTAAATTAATTAATTTTAAATTTCTCATTATGCTTATTAACTTATTATTTTTATTATATATCAATGTGATTTGTAAAATATATGTTTTAGATTAAGTGAACAGACTAATCATACCATTGAAAAAGGCATATTTTAATGTTTAACACAATATTATATTTTTTATAACAAATTAAAGAAACAAAAATGAAAAAAAAAGCAATTAAGAGAAATCAAAAATTTACTTATTAATGATAGATTTACTTTTCAACATTTAATTTCTACAAAACTCACTAAATAGTTACAAGTCACTCTACACCACTTTTAGCAAATAAGTAAGTCACTCTACACCACTCCTAGCGATTAAGTAAGTCACTCTGCATCACTCCTAGCGATTAAGTAAGTCACTCTACACCACTCCTAGCGATTAAGTAAGTCACTCTACACCACTTCTAGCCATTAAATAAGTCACTCTACGCCACTCCTAGAGATTAGATACAAATCTAAGAAAAGTTAATTAGTAGCTAGCAATTTATTTAACACAGTTTGTTCCGAGGTAAAGCTGTCACAAGTTACAACACCTTCTAATAGTTATATGTTTGCATTTCAATTCAAGCAATCTTTTGTCAATTTCTTATAGAAAAAATAATTGCAACATAAAATATAATATAGCGAATTCGGAACCTAAGTGACATTCATAATGTAAAATTAAGACAAAAACTAGTTTTACTGATAACTTTATTTATAATAATTTATTGATAACCCTATAAGTATATTTTTTTTCTAATACTTTATTAAAAATTTCCAACAGAAATTTAATTATCTTGTTAAATTTAACATCATTTTCTAAAGATAGAACTTAAATACAGCAAGAAAACAATATCTTTAATAAAAACTAATCTTTAATAAAAACTAAATTATAAAAAAAAAGTGTACCAAAAATAATCTCATCTGATGCTTAAAAGATTATGCAATATTTTTGTGCATCAACACCTACCATTAACAAAAACATTAAGGTTTCTAAATTTTTCCCAAAATTAATCAATTTAACATATACTTTATGGTGTAATTTAAAATAATGTTAAATCAAAAGTAACTATATAATATTTTTAATTTTGCAACAACTTAACTTGAACCTAAAGTGCGATACTACATGGTACCTGTGTAAATTAACAAATTCTAAAATAATATAAACAAGCAACTTTGGTTACATTATTTACTGATAAACATTTTTTATCCAATTAACAGAATTTCAAAGGTAGCCATTCCAGACGATTTTTTTATAATTAAAATATTCAAATATAATTGATAAAATGATATAAAAAATGAGGGGTCATTTGGCCTTTGAAGTTAAGCGTATCAAAAGTTATTGACCTTTTTTGAAAATTTACTGCGAAATGGCACCGAAAATGAGAGTATTATTGACATTTGAATAACTTTTGAACCGATGATACATTTGACTTGAAATTTTCTATAGTGACCAATTAAATATAAGAAAATGAAATTCCAAATTTTTTTTTTTAAATCTGTCGGGATTGACCAGAATCATCTATTTTACAGACCAAGGATTTTTACTAATTTATTTATTTTGGGGTCATACTGACTTTTGAATAACTTTTGAAACAATAATACATTTGACTTTTTGAAATTTTCCATAGTGACCAACCAACTATAAGGAAATTAAATTCCAATTTTTTTTTTTAAATCTGTCGTGAT